GAGATTTGTTTTGTGCCCCAGTATATGGTTGATTTTGTAGAAAGTTCCATGGGGTGCTGAATAGAAAGTATATTCTTTGGTGTTTGGGTGGAATATTCGGTAGATGGGTTAGTCCCATTTGATGTATGGTATTGTTTAATTCAGGTATCTCTCTGTTAATTCTCTGTCCTGTTGACTTATCTAATGGAGACAATAGGACATTGAAGTCCCCTACTATTAATGAGTTGGGATTAATCTGGGTCTTAAAGTACTGTAGTACTGTTTTTATGAAGTTGGGTGTACCAGAGTTTGGTGAATATATGTTCATGATTGTACTATCTTCTTGGTCTATTGTTCCTTTGATCAGAATGAAGTGGCCCTCTGTATATCTTCTGATTTGTTTTAATTTAAAGTCTATTTTACCAGCTATTAGAATTGCAACACCTGCTTTTTTCTTAGTACCAATCGCTTGGTATATTTTTTTCCATCCTTTCACCTTAAGGTAGTGCCTGTCCTTGAAAGTGAGATGAGTTTCTTGCAGACAACAAAAAGATGGGTTTTGTTTCTTAATCCATTCAACTAGTCTGTGTCTTTTGACTGGGGAGTTCAGTCCATTGATACTTAAAGTTTTTAATGAAAGATGTATATTGAATCCTGTCATTTTTATTTCTGTTCACTTTCTTGGTATAGCTGTGCCTTTCCACGGTTATACCTTCATTGAGTTTCTTTCATAACCCCTTGGATATAGTCATTCCTTTCTTCAGCTCTTTGTATTGCTTCAAGAAATCTCTGAAGGGCTGGTTTTGTGGACATGAATTCCTTCAGCCTATTTATGTCATGGAAGAGTTTTCTTTCCCCTTCGACTCTAATAGACATTTTGGCTGGGTATAGTAATCTGGGTTGGCATCTGTGGTCATTTAGAACTGGGAATACTTTGATCCAGGCTCTTCTGGCTTTTATGGTTTGCACTGAAAAGTCAGCTGTAATTTTGATTGGTTTTCCTTTATATGTGACTTGTTGTTTTTCTTTTGCAGCTTTCAGTATTCTCTCTTTGTTCTGTATGTTTCGTGTTTTTACTATGATGTGCCATGGAGAGTTTCTTTTCTGGTCCTGTCTATTTGGTGTTCTATATGCTTCTTGTATTTGTATGGGCATGTCTTTCATTAATTTTGGGAAATTTTCTTCTACAATCCTGTTGAAGATCTGGTCCATACCATTATCTAGTGATTCCTATCTGTCCTGTATGCCTGTGATTCATAAGTTTGGTCTTTTTATGGTATCACACAATTCCCACATATTCCATTCTTATGTTTTCTTAAATTTTTCATAATCTTTGCTTGAGTGGTCTAACTTGTCCACTTTTATGTTTCAGTCTTGATATTCTGTTTTCCATTTAATTCATCTAATTGGTGAGGCTTTCTCCTGTCGTTTCTAATTGGCTTACTGAGTGTTTCACTTCCTTCTTCATTTCAGCCTGAGTATTCTTCAATATTTCTAACTCTTTCCTGAATTCATTCAGTAGTTTATCCCTATCTTCTTTCAGTTCTTTCTTTGTTCGTGTGTTCTTTATATTCACTGAATTCTTTTATCATGTTTATAATTGTTCTTTTGAAGTTTATGCCCTGTGTTATCTCTAGGGGGTTCTCATTGTACTCCTCTAGAGGACTGTTGATACTTGATAGGGATGTATTTTTTGGGTTTTCATGTTATTATTTTTTTCTCTGTGACTTTGACGTATGGATTTCTTTTATAGTTTCTGATTCTTGTGTGAGACTCAAGCCTTCCTTTGTTGAGTTTAGGTCTGCTTCTTTTTGTAAACTTTATGTGACTTCGTGGTTTACTTGTTGGTCATGAAAAGCTGGTTGGTCTAGGCTTCAGGTTCTTTCTTTTGATTTTATATTAGAGTGGCCAAATTGCTTTTGTCTTTGGGAGTTCCCACAGAGGCCCAAGTCAGAAGAGGATCAGATGCTCTCAGGCCTTCTCCTAAGGTCTGAATCTTTCCAGGAAAGATGTTGACCTCAGGAATTTGGGGGCTGGGCTGGCCTGGGAGCAGGGCCCAGGAAAGGTGCTGGTCCCAGGAAGCTGGTGGCTCTGCCATGCAGGGATGCAAAGGGAGGTAGGGGCAGGAAGAGGTCCTGAGGGCTCCTGAGGACTACTGGGAGGACCTGGGTTGGACTGGATGCTAAGGATCAGGAAGCAGTGGGGCCTCTGGGCCAAGAGGTCAGCCCAGGGGTCTGGGGGGCCAAGAGGTCAGCCCAGGGATCTGGGGTGCCAAGACAAGAAATGGCCCAGTACCTAGGCTAGGAGGAAAGATGGGGTGGGGGAACTGGGAGGGTGAATGAGGCTCTGGGGAGTCAATGCACAGTGGGCGCTCCCCGGGACCCACCCAGGAAAGTTGCTGGCATCAGGAAGCTGGTGGCTGTGTCACCCAGGGACACAAAAGTAGGTGGGGGCGGGACCAGGCCCAGAAGCCTCCTGGGGACTGCAGGGAGGAGCTGGGTTGGTCTGGATGCAAAGGATCAGGAAGCAGTGGGGTCTCTGGGCCAAGAGGTCAGCCCAGGGGTCTGGGGTGCCAAGATAAGAAATGGGCCAGTACCAAGGCCAGCAGGAGAGATGTGGTTGGGGAGCTGGGAGGGTGAATGAGGCTTGAGGAATCAAGGTGTGGTGGGTGCCTTGGGACTTACTCAGGAAGCTGGTGGCCCTTTTTTTTTGAGACAGGGTCTCACTGTAGCCCCAGCAGTCCTGGAACCTTACTGGCCTTGAACTCACAGAGATCTGCCTGCCTGTGCCTCCCAAGTGCTGGGATTAAAGGCATGCACTACCAGGCCTGGCACTAGCTACATATCTTATACAGCCCAGGCCCATCTATACCAATTAACAATCAAGAGAACAGCCTTCAGATATGCCCACAGGCTAATCTGGTGAAAGAATTTCCTCAATTGAGAGTCCTTCTTCCCAGGTGTGTCAACCAAGGTTGACAAGCAAGATTAAGGACCCTGTCACAGATTACTAACAATAAAAGAGTTGGTTATGTTTAACCTCGGAAAGTAACCCATTGATTTTTGAGCTGTTAGGTACTTAAATTCATGCACTGTTTGCCTCCATTGTCTTTATTAACCATTGAGTTACCCTTCTAGCAAGCTGCAAGTCTTCAAGCAGTTTGTCATTCTCATCTGATGTGGCTGGGCACTTTGGTTGGTCTTGGCATGAACTCATCCATCTAGGGGAAGCTCTGTGATCTTTGTAGTGGGGGATGGTATTTCAGAAACACAGTGTGGGCACTGAGGACCCTCACTGCTGTCACTCCCTCTTCATGCTGCTCAGTGGGCTGAGGTCGACTACACCTATGTGTGAAGTGAAGTGCTGCTGAGGTCCTGTCATCAAAGCTGACGTGCAGGTTTTGGTGGCCCCTTTCCACGTGCTGGTGTTTAAGGACACTGAGTGTGATGGATAGCCAGTGTCCTGTTGCTGTATTTCATTTCCTGGTTCCTCTGCCTGTACCTCTTCCTCCTCTGCTGTTCAGACAAGGTTCCCATGTCTGTGTGACATCAGTGGCCCTGTGCTTCATTTGTGTTTGCCTACCTTCTCTACAGTGACTTCTCCCTGGTCATGTTTTTGAAACTTATTACCTAGCAATTTCTGAGGGAAAAGCCCCTCCTTAGGGACATTTCTTACACTTTAGTTGGCCATAATGACAGTGTGCTATTTCCCTTTAAAGTCAGCCTGACTGGACAAAAACCCTTGGTGTGTCCTGGAGCACATGACCTACTTTCTCCCAGGACAGTGCACGCTCAGTAAAACCTGATAGCTCTCCAATCTCCTGTGCCTCATGCATGAGTTATCTTGCCAGTAGATGCCAGTGACTTTGCCTTTTTCTTTGAAGTCTAGTCATTTCACTAGTACCAGACACATGGCATATCACATCTGACCCCCAAATGGACCAGCGTCAGTACCGAAGAAGCCCACCACCTTGAAATTCCTAGGGCTCGCTTACATGCCTACTTCAGCCTCATGGGCAGTTGGGGTATTTAGGGTACTGCATGTAGAGCCTGCCCTGGTCAAATAGTGTGGAGACTTTGCAGGACACAGGTCACCCAGCCGGGGCAGCTGGCTTGCAAGAACACCACTGCTTAGTCATGTGCATTTCCGTGTTGCCTCTGTCCAGGCTGACCTCTCACCTGGAATAGCTAGCTGTCCTTGCAGACCTGCTGAATTTCCTGCTAATCTTGCTAATCTTGCTGCCCATCTACCTCCCTAAATATGATGCAAACCCCTCTGTGATGCTCTGGGATTCTCATGAACATACCTGCCTGTCTTACTCACTAGCCTCCTATTCCCAGTGAGCACCACTTTGTGCAGTGCTCAGTACATAATGGAATCGTGGGGCAGGGGCCCAAGCTAACCCAATGTCCTTGTTTCTGTCACTGTGTATAAGTAGGGACGGTTAACCCAATGACAGCCCCTAGTCAGTAGCTGAATATGAACATATGGCATTTAAGTGAGGACACAGTTTGGGGAACTTACTGAACTGGGGTGGAGACTTTTAGATTACTGTTGAACCTGAGAGCCCTGTACTGTCCCTGGGTTTCTCATCCTGAGAGGTGGGGGCCTGATACCAGCTCCATTCAGTCTTCCTCTTTTGACCTTCCTTGCCATCTACCTTGACTGACCCTCTGTGGTGACTACCTTTGCACAGTGTAGAGTTGCTGTAATTGTGGGAAATGTCACTTGGGAACTCAGTCACTCAAAGGTGGGCTGAAAGGAACTGGCAGGATGCTAGGCTGTGGTCCCTCAGCAGTGAGTGCCCTGTTGTTTGCAGGCTGACTGGTGCCCCCTGTGGCCTAGTTCTTGAAATGGAAATGTTAGTCCTACTATCCCACTGGGGAAGAGTGCAGTGCATTGGGAGGAGGCATGAGGTTGCCTATCAAGAAATCTGTATCTAGAGTACACACCATCATTGTGGCTAGGGTGGATGTAGAGAGTGCTGGCTGTGATTTTCTCCTCACCAACCCTGTCACCAGCAGTTGACTCTGACAAGCGACATGCTAACGACTTCGCATTGTGGAAGGCAGCCAAGCCTCAGGAGGTGTTCTGGGCCTCACCGTGGGGGGACGGAAGACCTGGCTGGCACATTGAGTGTTCCGCCATGGCCAGGTAAGGCCCCAGCAGATTCTGGACCATGTGTGTTCTGGCTAGATGTGATAGCCAGGGTGGCCTCACAGAGCGGGAGAATGGATAGGAGGACACAGGGCTGTGAGGAGGGATGCCTAGCCCAAGGTGTGCTCGGCCTTCCTGTAGCTTGGCCGGGTTCCCTGCCAGCAGCCCAAGAGTGACAGCACACAAGTAGGGAGCTAGACCAGGCTAGGGAGGACCTCAGCTAGCCGTGGCACCTCTGAAAAGCCATTTTGAGAACATACATGTGTCCATATCTTGGTCAGCCCATATCTTGTGAGTTCAGAGGTCCACTTCTGTCCTATGGACAGCATCTCCAACCTGCTGGGAAGGTTGTACCCTCGTCCTGAGCAAGTGCACTTTGCACTTCCCTAGGGCACTGGTGGCAGCTCCATCCTCCTTCCCTGCCATTCTGGTGGATACTGGTGGATACTGTGGATCCATGTGCACTGCAGCTGTACGGAACCATGTCTTCATGGTGTGAAGTGCACTGAGGGGATTAAGTGTGAGGTATAGACCCTGCCGTCAGGTGAACTCACTGATGATTGCACTCTGTCCCACAGCGAGGTGTTTGGAAGTCAACTGGACATCCACACAGGTGGCATAGACTTGGCTTTCCCACATCATGAAAATGAAATTGCACAGAGTGAGGTCTTCCACCAGTGTCCACAATGGGGAAACTACTTTCTGCATTCTGGTAAGCCCGGCTTGATCATGTTCTCTTCTGGGTCTGTCAGTTCTCTTCTTTATTGGTAAAATGGCTACATTTGGAAATACTTTGATCAGCTGGTAGGGCAGTAATGGGTTTGTCTGAAATATTTCTATTTTTAGAAATTCTTAGCTGGGTATGGTGAAGCACGCCTTTAATCCCAGCACTCAGGAGGCAGAGGCAGTCAGATCTCTGTGAGTTCAAGGCCAGCCTGGTCTACATAGTGAGTTCCAGGACAGCTGGGGCTACAGGGAGACCCTGTCTCAAAAAGACAA